AAACTTAATGTATTTAGAATTAGTTAGGTCAATTGAGATAAAATTTAATATATAATGCCATAATATATATTATAAAGTATATTAAAATTTTTTAAAAATTCAAGTTTGTCACATAAAATGTGAACTCATGAAAAACTATATATACATTATTTTTTATTTTAAAAATAAAATGATTAAATATTTTGCAGAAAAATAAAATATCCATATGTAATCGTAATATTATCTTTATAAAGGAGATGAGTATTATTATATTGATAGAGTTTTTGAAGATTTTTTTGAAAATTTTGTTAAAATGTAAAATAATGAATATATTTTTTAAGAATAATATAATCTATCAATTTTTTTTATAAAAATTGACATTTATAAATAGAGAATAGATAATTAGAATATTAATTTAATTAAAATTCTACTTATAAATTATTGAATAAAATAAAAATAATTATCAATATACTAATTATATTAGAATCTTATTGTATTTTGGATTATCTAGGTTAATTGGAATCAAATTTAATATACAATGCTATAATATATATTATAAAGCATATTAATTTTTTTTTTAAAATCAAGTTTTCACATAAATCTTAACAAAGTCTTAAAAGTTTACAGCGACTAAAAAATCATGTAAAACTATATATACATTATTTTTTATCTTAAAAATGAAAGGGTTAAATATTTTGATGAAAAGTAAAATATAAATATGTATTTATAATATTATATTTATAAATAAGGTGAGTAATATTATATGATAGAATTTTTGAAGGCTTTTTTGAATATTTATTAAAACTTATAATGACACATATATTTTTTAAGAGTAATATAATCAATTCAAATTNAAACTTATAATGACACATATATTTTTTAAGAGTAATATAATCAATCAAAAAATTTTATAAAAATTGACGCTTATATATAGGGAATATATAATTAAAAGTGATCTTAGATATAATTTAAAAATTTAATTACATAAGGATATGATGATAATTTAAATATTAAGAGTAAAATGATAGAATGACATTTTTAATTATTTATGAGGGTAAAATAGTGAATCAAAAATTTTTCATAGTAAGGTACTTTTTATTAATAATTATAGATTTTAAAGATAAACTTTATGCTAGGAGTCCTGGGTCATAATTGAAATGTCAGGGAGGCTACGTAGGTTTTTTATGGGAGAATTATATTTAGACCCTTTGAAATTTGTCATTCAATCATAGGTTTGTATGTACATAACATTTAGATTTCATTTAGTCTATTGATTAGTCATTTTTACCTAGACTTCCAAAAATTTATTGACATGTAATACTTAAATCTTTTAAATTTAAAATATTATACTTAGGATTTTTATTAGTTATAGAACTAATAAAATTTATTAAACGATCAAATTATTCCAATTAAACATAGAACATAGAACATATTATGTCCATTACAGTTTGACTTTTTGTTTAATTTTTTAATTTTATTCCAATCGATGGTATAATTATATATTGATAATGATTTTTTTAAGAAAAAATTAAATTTTTATTGTTGATTTTGTTTCAATAAATTATATAATACAAATCAATTTTTGTTGTAAAGTTGAAAATGTATAATGATAAACTAACTAGGTGT